CCACCCACCCACCAACCCAGCGTCGCCCGCGAGGGCCCCGCGAGCGCCGGAGAGCTGTACTTTGGAGCCTGGCTTGTACTAACTCGGCTTTCCCCGGAGACCGCCGAAGAACACTCCCCCGGTCCCGAGGCATCCGGGCTGAGAGGCTCTTTGGGAATTACCCGCCCCCTTGCCCTGGAAACGTTTATTCCTTAATGGAATGTACTTGTTCTTATTTTCTGATAACACGTAAAGACCGCTTGTGACTGATGGAAGCGAAGAACTCAGGTCCAGGTGCCTGGACACCGTCCCTCTCTAATGCAGCAAACCCCAGCAAAGAGAGGGTTTGGCCTTGGACGCTCACCTGGGGCACCTGCTGGCTTCATCCCAGGGCAGGGGCCGCCACGCACAAATCCTGGCTGCCAGGGGAGAGTTAGAGGACGGAGGTGTGTAGGGCTGGGGGGAAAGAGAGTTTGGGAATTGGAGCCAGGATTTCTTGGTATAATGCTTTGGGGCTGCTTCTGCCTTGGCAAAAGGAAATGTATGATTTGCCAAGTGGAGAAAGCATGGTGCTTTCCACAGCGACTTCACAAGCTTGCTGTGGAGAGAAATGGGAGCAGCAAATAATTTATCCAGTAGAAAGCATTGCAGTTCTCTCTGAAGAGTTCCCATATTTTTTCTTTTTTTTTTCCTACCGGGTACATTTAGATATCCATCTAGTTTTATGGTTGCATAATTCCATAGTGTAGCAATTTAAGTACCACATACAATATAGTTCAGTTCTGCCTGCCAATGTCTAAAGTGGCTGTCCCTTTACCTGTTTTCAGACTTAATGGGTTTAAACCTGTATTGGTGGGTGAGGGTCCTCAGCCTTTTTGTGGAAATCAAGTGGTAAAGCAAATTTAATAACAGTGGATGTGGAGAGGGGAAACAATTACCTCTTAACAATGCTGTTTCTAAAAGTCAACCTGCAACAGTTCATGAAAAGATCATTATCCCTGAATAGATGCATGAGCTAAGGCTGACGTTAGAACGGGGTAAAAAAAGGAAAAGATAAACAGAGGCCAAAGATGACTCTTTATTGCTTTTTTTTTTTTTTTAAGTTCAGGGCACAGCCAGCTAATTTTGTAATGTTTATTTTGGGAAAGAATAGCAGCAGATTAACGTTCCAAGCCACTTTCCTAATGATCAGACCAGGATACATCGCCACCTGCTGGTGTACCCTAGCATAATTCTACCCTGAGAACTCTTGTTATTAAATTGCGTATTTTTTGCGTATTAACTGGAAAGAGATCCGTCCAGCTATATAAAATGACCAAAGTGCAAACTTTATCCCCAAACATATATCTTCCTTAAACATACTAAATATCTTTTTGCCAGATTCTAATAATTTACAGGGTAGGTATGAAATTAATTGGACCCAATGACTCATCAAATCATGCCTTTTTTTAAATGAGTTCACCTCTTCCCTTCAAGAATGCCTCACTACTTGAGCTTCAGGAATAAAACAAACTGGGAAAGTTTCCTAATTCACCTTCTCTTCCTTGCATACAAAACCTCTTGGCAGGCTGCTTTCAAGATCTTTCCAAACTTAAACAGACCCAAAGTTCTAGCTGTGAGCAAAGAAGGCATTTGCTGTGGGAAAACTTCAGAAGATGGTAAGCAAAGGATTTAATTAAGCCAGTGGTTATTCATTCCAGAACTGTTTTTTTTCAATGATGAAAATCCCTATGTTCACCCACAAAGCTCTAATGGTAAAAACATCCCTGAAAGCCTCTTTAGAGCTGTTGGTAGCTCTAGACTGTTCTAAAGGCTCTATCCAAAGAATGCCTTCAGAAGAGTCACACCAGTCTAGGTAGAGCACAGTGCCCACGGTCATTAGTCCCTTACCTAAAAAAATGACACTGGTGACAAAATCCATGGCACATGCTCTTTGAGGTCCCCCCCTCCCAGGAGGGGGGCAGGGTGGTTATTCTAAACCACATCCTCATCCGTTCTTTCAACGTTTATTGAGCACCTACTATGTATCTAACACTGTTCTAGGCATTCTAAACAGTTCTGAAGAGACCTGAGGGCCCTTGTCCTCATGGAGCCCATTCCACATCATCATTTTCAAGGCAATGCCCAGGGGTGCCTGTCAGTTGGTTGAGAGTCCAACTGTTGGTTTTGGGCTCAGGTCATGATCTCAGGGTTGTGGGATTGAGCCCCACGTTGTTGGGCTCTGTGCTCAGCAGGGTATCCGCTTGAGATTCTCCCTCTCTCTCTCTGCCCCTACCCCACCCAATATAATAAATAAAAATTCAAGGCAATTGCCCAAAATGGGTGGCAAAATAAAGAAATTTAGTTCTTCCTCTCTCTTTGGCAATCTTTTTCCTGTATGTAGATTGTTGCCCCCAAAAGTAAACAGTTATTGGGAATGGTTGATGGTAAGAGCAGATGAGGTGTTTCACAGATAAGTATAAATATGGGTCAACATTTCTACAAGCCAAAAGACTTTTTTTTTTTTACCTCTTTGCAAAACCACAATAAAGATATAAAGGCAGACTCTGGGTTGATAAAAAGTTGTTTATTCTTATAAAATTTAGTACAAATCTCATTGAAGTATAAATCTTGAGCAATGTTTGGAATTATTACATAGTAATCCAAAGGCAAATGAATAAAATACTTCATTTTGTCTGACCATACCACATGTTAATTAGCCCTTCGTTTACCTGTGATGTAGAAACATAGCATCTTAGGGCGCCTGGGTGGCTCAGTTGGTTAAGCGACTGCCTTCGGCTCAGGTCATGATCCTGGAGTCCCTGGATGGAGTCCCGCATTGGGCTCCCTGCTCGGCAGGGAGTCTGCTTCTCCCTCTGACCCTCCCCCCTCTCATGTGCTCTCTCTCATTCTCTCTCTCTCAAATAAATAAATAAAATCTTTAAAAAAAAAAAAAAAGAAAGAAACATAGCATCTTAACTGCTGACTCACCTTAATGTCCCATTTTTCTCTCAGGGAGGTTCCTTCATAGTTATTAGTTAAAACATCAAGAAAAGCGGAAATGAACAATTTTTCTTCTCTTATTATTTAGGTCATTCAAAATCCAAAAGAAACCTATGTACATTCCCATGAGAGTACCCCTAAAACAGCAAGGTCTGCAATCCCTTCACTTCTGAGGAGTAAAAAGGAAAAAAAAAAAAAATTGGTACCAGATTAAGCCTATTCATTTGTCTGGTATGAAACAGGTTGCACTGTGCCAAAATTCAAGAGCCAGCTTTTTCTTTTTTTAAGCTCCTGCGCCAAGCCACTCTTTTTTACTAGGCTTTTGCTAAAATCAGCATTCCCCAGCATCCTACTTTGACCACAGTTTTGTTGGAAAGGAGCTCACCAGCATTCTGGGGATCCCGATCACAGAAGAAAAGAGACGGAGACGCTACTGTCAGATTATTTCCATGTGCAGCAAAACTCGTTAACCAGATGACAGTCATTTTAAAAGACCCGCTGTTAACATGCCTTGAAAGCTGCTTTTGCCAGAGCAACAATGACTTCATGCGGTTCCAACGCTCCATCATGCCTGGCCAGTGACATCCATTTTCAAGACCACTCATTAGGTTAGTATTACCAGTGACCACACAATGGGTGGAAACTTCCTATCAACCTAGGCTTAGCCTTCAGTGGCCCCACACATTTGCTCACTAACTGAGATCAATCCCCAGTGGTCTCAATAACATAATACATAATCAAATAAATAAATAAACAGCAAATAAATAAATAATACTTATTTTTTTCCATAAAAGTCCTACATTAAAGACACCCCTTAATAAAATGCCACAGTGTTGCTATGAAATACACAACGGGGTATTTCATTCATTCACCACAGGGTTTAAACCGAGACAAAGAGTACACAAGTGACCTGCCCAATTGATCTGGCAAGTGAGCAGCCAAATTAGTTAAAAGAACCCAGGAAGTCTTGATTCCTAACCTCTCGTTCTAAGCTTACATTCTCGCTTTCCCTGGGTGAGATTAGAGACTATTGCACTAAGAAATATTTTGTTCCCTTCCGAGACTGCCCTTGTCATAATACTTTATCCATAGAGAGGGGCATCTTTTTCAGAGAAAAGAAAAGGTAGTTAAGAGGGCTAAAGGGAACGTATATGAAATTAAAAAAAAAAAAAAATTAGCCTCATCACCCTGCGGCCAGTACACTTGTCTTTGGTTCTGGTTTGCAGTACGTATAGCAGAGCTGAAACTTGAACTGCCATCTCAAGCACAGTGGAATCCACATGGTAAATCCCTATGGAATTCACTCACAGCCTCTCATGCCTGGGAGATTAATGCACAAAAGCCCTGAGAATTGGCATAGTTTTCCTGGTAGGGCAGAACCCGTACAACAGGACTTGGTAAATCTGCCCACACCTCATTCATCTCTCACCCAAAGCCCTAGCTCTCTGGTTTTTATGCAGAAAAGAGTTAACAGGGCAGGCCTGAACTCCTGTCCTTGGGAAGGCCAACTTGCAAGGTTGGCCCTTAGCTGGCGTCTGGGAACTTAGATTTCGGGAACGCTCCCTCCACTAACTGCTGAGAATGGCTCACCATGCCTCAGCTGTTTGTGCAAACAATATGGTTCATGCTGAACAGCTACTTTCCTGCTGGGAGTCAGGAATTTTGCTCCATGCCAGGCAATGGCTGCCTACATGACCAGCCCCCAAGAAAAAACTTGGGCACTGAGCAGCTAATGAGCTTCCTCGTTGGCCATTTTACACATCTGGCCACAAACTGTTGTTAGGGCAATGAAGCACATCCTGGGTGATCCCACTGGGAGAGGACTCTGGAAGCCTGGGCCTGGTTTCCCTTCGACTCTGCCCCTGGCACCTTTTCCCTTTGCTGCCCTCTTTGTACCCCTTCACTGTAATTGATCACAGCTAGGAGCTTGACTACATTCTGAGTCATGTGAATCCCCCAAGCAAAGCACCAAAACTGGGGGGGGGGTCTTGGGGACCCTCAACAGTTGGTATAGGGAGGCCTCAAGAAGTGACCCATTACTAAGGCCAGTTTCACCCCATCCTCCTCTCAGCTCTTTCCCTTTGTGTGAGCACATCCGGTCCCCTGATCCGATGCTCAGATGTCAGACATTCATCTTCCTGAAAGTCCCTCCCTTTATAGTAAATGGGGTGACTTTATTTAAACTGCTACATGGAAAGCGGGAATAAGGGTTTGTTCAAGGAGTCAGTTCTCGAAGGGATTCTCAAATTCCTTCCTGAGCTGTCTAGCCGTCAGGCATCCCAGAGACAAGAGGATCCAGGGACACCAGGAACTAACAGGAATGCAGCACTGCTCACCTCATGGCGCTGCCGTACTCACAACTACCACCGAGTAGTCTCGCTTTTCTACAACCGCGCCACGGTAGACGTTAGTGTTTTAATACTAGTGTGGGCTCCACTCGAAGACTGACCAAACTGACCGATAAGGTGTAGCCCTTTTGTGAAACCTCAGTTCGTCGTAAGCCTGATTCTGTAACAGCCGTATCTCCAACCTGGGTCCCGTGGCTGGCTGAACCCAGTCCCCCGTCTGGAGAAAGCCTTGGCTAGTGCGTTTTGAGATGGCCGTTGTGCTTTTGCTGCCGCTCCTCACTCAACCTGCTCCTCCAGGCATGGTACTTCTTGATGCTCTTCCTCCATGCGAAGCGCCAGATGCTAAACATGAAACACCAAGACACAGCGTACATCGCTACTCCCCCAACCTTCACAAACCACTTGGGCTTGGGGGAGACCATTTCACAGAAAAGGAGGCGAGCTCCTACACCAATCCTCACTCCAGTAAACAGGGCCACAAAGAGGAAGTCCACCACATCTCCAGTGAAACTGTGGTAGTGGCCTGTTTCACGGAGAAACCAGCGCATCTGTAGCAAGGGGTTGGTGATCTCGCTTCCAAAGAGGACCGCGTTGACCTCTGTGCCTGACTCCCCGAGCACCAGGGCCATGATGATGCCCAGGATACTCAGCGTGTGGTGAGCTAGCATCAGGGGCCCCTCAGACTGGAAGTAGATGCACCAGCCCAAGTCGAAGATGAAGTAGCCCAAGGTGAGACACAGAACGTGCACCTGGAGAGGAGTATTGGGTGAGCCTGAAATAAACCAAGACAGAAGCAAACTGAGTGGCTGGGAATTGAGCTACCCTGCACTGGGACACTGGGGTCCAGTGTTTCCCAAGCTTTCTTGAACCACCGAGAGCAAAAACAAAGGCAGGCACATGCATCTGAGTGACGACCAAGAAAGACTAAAATCTAAAACCTTGATCTTTATCAAACCCAATAACGTCACAGGCCTGGGAAATTCTGTTTTGACGAATCAGATCTCAATGAATGAACTGAGCACCAGCCATAATCTCAGTGTCCTCTCTATGGAGCAGCATAAAACTGAGCTGCTTTGTCTTTTCAATTAAAATCCTACAGCTAGTTTCTTTCTCTTTTTTATTTTTTAAAATTTTATTTATTTATTTATTTGACCAGTTTTAAAGGTCTGTTTCCAAGCTCTCTTAGTTATTCTGCCCTGGATGTTGGATTAATTTCTTAGCTTAGTGGGTTAGATTGTCTGGACGCTGGTGGCCCTACCCTTCTTGAAAGTGGACCTTGGAAAGAACCCCAGAAGTTAGTGTATTCCCAGCCCAAGAAAATCAAGTGCGAGGACATGACATGTTCAAATCTATTTAAAACCTTCATATAAGACATGCAGCTTAATAGCTGCTTTCATATCAGTTGGAATAGTTTTGGGAAAACCTCAGAAGCTAAATATAGGAATTTAAGGAAATTAAAAAAACAAAAACAAAAACTAAGGAATTAAAAAAAAACATATCCTAGGGGACTTCTGGCCTGAATTGTTACCCCCCAAATTCTTATGTCAAAGCCCTAACCCCCAATTCCTCAGAATGTGACTGTATTTGGAGAGAAGGCCTTTAAAGAGGTAATTCAGATAAAATGAGGTTGTTAGGATGGGCCCTTATCCAATATGGCTGGTGTCCTTATAAAAGAAGGAGATCAGGACACAGACACACACAAAGGGGAGACCATGTGAGGACATGGCAAGAAGGAAGCCACCTGCAAGCAAAAGAGAAAAGCCTTAGAAGAAACCAAACCAGCCAACAACTTGATCTTGGACTTCTAGCCTGAAGAACTGTGAAGACGTAAGTTTCTGTTGTTCATGCTTCCCAGTCTGTGGCATTGTGTTACGGCAGCTCCAGCAAACTAATTCAAGGGGATACAACCTTTTTTATTCTAAGGAGGTAATACTTGTACATCTAGTAGTTTAAAAAAATCAATATAAGTGCTGCAAATAATGTGACATCAGTTAAATAAATGATAGTATATGCATACAATACAATATTACATCACAAATTAAGAAGGATAAAAGAAATCTATGTACATAGATGTCCTCTGAATATACAATCAAGTGAAAATTGCAGGTTATCAAAAAGCATGTATAATACAGGCCATCTGTGTCTGTTTGGAGGGGGTGGTAGAAGATGTTGATATTGGCTTTATGTTTTATATATTTCGGTGGATTACAATGTAACACGCATTTAAAATTTGTTTTAAAAGTAGAGAGTTACGAAAAGCAGAAGTAGGGACATATACAGTATAAGAGGTAAAAATGAAGACGCCCAATACAAATTACAATGGTAATTATTCTTCAACATTCTCCAATATTGTACAAATTCTGTGAAAATGTCCCTTCCTTCCAAGACTACCCCCCAATTATGATCCTCTTAGGGAAAATCCTCTAATGTCTCCCACCTACCTGGATGGGTAAAAGGCCAGGGGCCATCAATGAAGCCAATATAAGCTGAGAGGCCTATAGAGAGGATTCCATGGGTGAATGTAACCAGCCGGCAGCTCCACTCATAGCTTCGGTGCTTATTCAGGTGGCAGAAAGAAATGTAGAGTGAGAGCCAGCCCCCCAGGCTGCACAGCACCTGCGGACACAGAGCTAATGCCATCCTATGATGAAAAGACCAAAACCAGAAAAACAAAGGATGCGCCCTAAGAAAACAGCATTGGGTCAATTTGCATATAATCTTCATTCCAACTCTAGGATAGTACAAAAATACCGCCTTCACTGAAACACTTCTTCCTTTCGACACAGCCAAGAATCTTCCATTAAAGCGTGGCTGTAATTCTGATTCCATGTTCCTTAGAGATGATAAAAGCTCTAAACCGAAAACCAGGAACTGCATTCTGAGTTGGTAGACTGCCTGATAAAACGTGTTGTTACGATGAGTAAATGTCAACAATAACCTGCCAGTGGTGACTGACCTTGAATACAATACATGTAGTAGATAATGTGTTCACACTTCAAAAATCCCAATAAGAAGCTCTCTCGAAAAAACAGTACCACCACCTGTGGTTTCTACAAGAGGTCATATGACTCATAGCAGTTTTGTGTGGTTTGAAGCTGATACTAAATTCAACTGAAGTTTGGATTCGGGTCACAGGTTTATCAATTAAAATCAAAACTTGAGGTAAACCTGAATAGGGAACTAAAAGGAGTCTAGGTATTTTGGAAGGAAAAAAAAAAATCCTAGTTCTGAAATCCAACTCAAAGACTGATCAAGGGGGAAGCAGAAGGTATAAGTGGGAAATTTTTGTTGAGATATAAAAAATATCCTTAAGGCAGTTATTCAGTTAAACATCAAACAAAGTCAGAAAGCTACGCTTTGAAATTTTTACTGATGACAAATATATCAAGCCAAGAATGACTGTAACTGAATCAATTTGGCCATACAGGACTAAAATCTTAAAGTAACCAAGATGTTGTTATTAATACTCGTTAGCTCCTCTATTGAAAGTACAAATAAAAAAGTCGAAAACATTGCAGATATGTGTCTCATCTCAGCAGGAATTTTCTGCATGGCTACACTTATTGCTTAACCCTATTCTGACAAGTGAAATACTATCCATGGACCAACACAAAGCACTCCCGAGAATGCTATCCAGAGAGAGCTTGATGAAGGTCAAGTTCTGTAAAGCGTTCATCTGAAATCAGGCTTCTATTCATGAAAACAGTAGGCGTCAATCACAGTCCTGAGTTCCAATTCTGTCTGTGCCCCTAACTAGGCATAAAAGTGTGGGCGAATCACTTTCACCTCTTGAGCCTCCGTTAAAAAAATGGGGGGAAGAGAGAAGAAAAGAGGATTGAAAACTCTAATCTGGCCCAGTTCTGACAAGGAGTTCTGAGATAAATTTTGTAAAACATCTAGGCCAATTTTCAGAGCAAGGGCCAGAAATACAAAGTACCCAGAGTGAAAAGAACCGTCCTCGCTTATTTCCTTCTAAATGCCAGGGTCACCGGCCAGTAATACGGATCAGCTCATTTGGATCTGCTGATTAGTATTTTTAGAGTCCTCTTCCCTGAATCCTAATTCCCTGGCAGAACAGAGGAAACAGTCTATTTACAAACACTTAAATAAAAGAATAGACATTTGTAAGGGGCAGATACAAGTCTGTGACCTTGGGAAAGTCACTCCATCTCTGGATTTCGGTTTTGTTTTTGTTTTCTTTTTTTAACTCTTGGGTAAAAGAACGGAAGGGTATTGGGGTGGCCGCTCCAGCTCGGAATTCCAAAGCTCCGGTCCTCGCTCCTCCCGTTCCAGGGCCAGATTCGGGAGGAGGAGCGCTGGGCGGGCCCACCTGGCTGGCGACCGCGGAGCAGGCGTGGCTCGGGCGAGCGGCAACCCGGGCGCCCCTTAGGCACTGCGAGCGCCTCTCCCTCCGACGCGCCCACGGACCGCGGGCCACCCCCGGCTCGCGAGCACCTGCGCCGCGCCGCTGTGCGGACCTCCCGCCGCCCGCCCGAGCCCGGCGAGGCAAGGCCTCCCGCGCCCGCAGGCAGGAGGAGAACACCGCCCCCCGCCCCCAGCCCCTCCTCGGCGGCCAGGCGGGGCCATCTGCCCGCCTCCTTCCCCACCAGCGCGCCGGGCCGACCAGGCCGCCCTGGTCCCCAGCCCAGCCCGGCGGCCGCAGTCCGACCGTTCGCGCCGCGCTGTTACCTGGCCGAGCGCCCCGGGAAGCCTCGGGCGCCTCGACCCCAGAGCTCAGAGCGAGGATCCCCGGAGCAGGAAGCGGCGGAGAGAGGGAGAGAGGACGATGCTCTGACGGCGGCGGAAGAGGAGCCCGGGGTCTGGGGGCACCTTGTGGCTGGGAGGACGGAGCGCAGAACCCGAGCTGGACGATGGAACCGGAGGGTGCTCCTCCCGCGCTCCGGGCTGGGGCGGGGGGGGGGGGGGGGAGATAGCAGGGTGTGACCTAGTGATCACATGAGACCCGCAGGCTGCTGCCCTTGTTTGCGTGTTTGTTGTTTGTTTGTTTGAATAATTACCCATCCCGTCCCCCGTCCCCCGCCCCCCCAGGTTGGGACAGCCCATCCGGTAACTGAGGGCTCGCACCCCTACTAGGCACTGTGGGAGATACAAGATCTCATCGCTGCTCTCACGGTTGAGTCTCAGTTGTGAAACAAGCACACAAATCACTGATTTGCCAGGAAAGTGCTTAGGCTTGGGAATTAGCAGTCCTTTTCGTGACAGCCCTGCCACCAACTTGGTGGTAGAATATAAGGCTTAAAAATAAACACGGATTGGTTACTGACTCGTGTCTTTGCGCAAGTTACTTAACTATTCTGTGCCTCCATTTTTCTCAAACACAGAACGGGGATAGTAATAATAGGCATCTTATAAGGCCATTGTGAGAATTTTACACGCTTTACCTATGTAAACTGCTTAGAACAATGGTGGGCCCCAGGAAGTCACTATATAAATGTTAATTATTGTGATCGGTGACACTTCCGGTAAATCCTTTCTCCTCTTTGAGATCTATTTTAATACCACGGAAAATCAGTTGGAAGAGATGACCAAACAAGTATGGAGGCTCAAATGGGGTAAAGAGGGTATGTGGATTGGTTTATTAGGATGGGCAACAATGGGATGCTGAGGGGCCCAGACAGTCTTAAAAAGAGAAGTCGTTAAGTAGAGGTGTGAGCATTTACACCATGGCTGGGGAGTAGTGAATAATCTAGTTTTGACATTTATCTTGCCAATCTCTCGTGAGTAAGGATCAAACTGTTTTCATCTTTGTTTGTCTAATACCTGGTAGGAGGCAGATGTGCTAGATGTTCACTGGTTGGATGGATGGGAAATGAGCCTGGAAAAGTGTCTTGGAAGCATATTGGGGCTCCTAAACCTTGTTAATCTTCTATACCATTTAGGAAGTGTCTTCCAAATACCCTCATAGGCTGTATCTTGAAAAGTACGATTTAGTAGGCTTAGTGTGGGGCCTAGGAATATGTATCTTTTAAAACTTAACCCACAGGTCATTCAGATATTAGACATGTTTAAGAACCATTGCTGTCAGAGGACGTTAAATGACCCTGTTGCTAGACTGAGGCATCTTATTATGTGGGTAACAGGAAGCCTATGATGTTATTGGGCAAGGGGATAATGTTACCATGTTCTCCAAGCCCTTGTTACTCAAAGTGTGGTCCATAGCCCAGCAAAATCCACAGCTCCCAGAGTTTGGTAGAAACACAGAATCTCAGAATTCCAATGTGTAACCGAAGTTGAGAATCACTGCTATGCACCCAACTGAAGTCATTATAAGATGAATTGGAGAAGACAGCCTGCTTCAAGTGGGTTGGAACAGACCAGATAAGAGGTAATGAGAGCCTGAAGAAGGAGAACGGGGAAGGATCCATTTCACTAAATGGATACTATGCAAATCTCAACTTTCCCCATTTGCTTATAATTGTTGTAGTATTTTTTTCTTCTTCTAGTATCTGAATTTGGAACTACTTTCTGCTGCCACCATTTTCCAGGGAAGAACAGAGTACTAAAAGGCTTCAGGGGTCTAAAGGCTGGGCGGATAAGGGAAAGTTCTTTCTATTGAAGCCTTTAATGGGCCTTTATCCTAGGGTGATTAATAGTCCAGGTTCAAGCTTCATTACCTTGGATTAAATTTACTAATTTACATATGTTTGGCCATAACCCTTGTTCTACCAAATCAGATACTAGTCAACAATGGCATCCCCCCAAGAAGTAAAGGAGAGCCGGGGACAGGAAGCTCTCCACCAATTTATTAGAATAATAATGACAATAATTGTGATCATAATCACAATAATAATAGACAACACTTATTGTACCAGGCTTTGTTCCAAGCACTTTATGTATATTATTAACATTTAATTCTCACAGGTCTATGAAATGGGTACTATTGTTATCCCCATTTTATAGGTGAGAAACTAAGGCACAGAGCAGTCAAGGAACTTGCTCAAGGTGACATGATTAGTAGGAGGCAGATTTGAGTATGAACCCAAGCAGTATAGCTCTGGAGGTCATGCTCTCAACCACCAAGATATGCTGCCTGAACTTGACTAGAATCCCCTACAGATGTGTACTGTATTATTAGGTATTCACAGCTCCTAGCCTCAATGAAGGGCACTAGAAGTTATTCAGAGGTAAAAAAGGAATTTAATTTTCAAAAATCTTAATTGCCTATTATGTACTAGGGACAGTGTTGGGTTTTTTTTTTTAAGATTTTATTTATTAATTAGCACAAGCAGGTGAAAGGACAAAGGAAGAGGGAGAAGCAAATTCCCAGCCGAGCAGGGAGCCTGACATGGGGCTCGATCCACGACCCTGAGATCATGACCTGAGCCTAAGGCAGACGCTTAACTGACTGAGCCACCCAGGCGCCCCAGTATTAGGCACAGTGTTAATCATGGGGATATAGAGAAAAAGAGCCTCCACTATAAGGAGCTTCCCACAGTCTAGAAGGAGAAGCAGAAGAATCAGCAAATGCAGTACGTAAGATACAGCAGAGTGCACAGGGAGGAGGGGCACTGAGCCTAAAACCTGGGGGCTCAGGGCAGAATTCCTGACTTCAGTCCTGGAACTAAGTTTATTCTCTGAGTTTCACCAAAAGTCCTTAGTATTAGGAGCCCACAGCTGGGCCCACCAGTCTTGAGTCAACTAAAAACTGAAGTATGAAAATTTGAAAAGTAGCAGGAGCAATTCTTCTCTTTCTTTCTGCCTGGGCAATGACTGGTTTTTGTCCATAGATTCTCTTGTGCCTAGTTAGCTGCTGAGGAAGCTAACCGAGCTTTGGTTAAACTTCACTGGAATTTTATAGAATCATGCATACATGAAAAGTGAATCAGTGCCCGCTTCCAGGTTTGACTCTGTTAAACAGTTGTCCAAGACAATGGAAATGGAAGCTACTGGAGGCTGAGCAGGGAGGCTACAATTCTGCATTTCTTTCATAAAAACCATGGTCAAATAGCCCAGAAATTGACCCTCATACAGAGTCAACTGATCTTTGACAAAGGAGTTAAAGCAATACAATGAAGAAAAAATGGTGTCTTTAACACATGCTGCTGGAACAACCACACATCCACATGCAAAAAAAAAAACTGCATCTAGACCCAGACCTTATACCCTTCACAAAAATGAACTCAAAATGGATCATAGACCTAAATGTAAAATGTAAAACTGTAACATTTCAGGAAGAGAACACCTAGATGGAGAAAACCTAGATGACACTGGGTATGGTGATGCCTTTTTAGATACAACAACAAAGACACAACCCATGACAGAAATAATGGGTAAGCTAGACTTCATTAAAATTAAAAATATCTGCTCTGCAAAAGACAAATATCAAGAGAATTAGAGGACAAGCCATGGACTGGAAGAAAATGTTTGCAAAAGACACATCTGATAAAGGACTGTTACCCAGAATAGACAAAGTACTCTTAACATGCAACAATAAGAAAATAAATAACCTGATTAAAAAGTGGGCCAATGACCTGAACAGATACCACACCAAAGAAGACATATGGATGGCAAATAAGCACATGAAAAGATGCTCCACATCATATGTCATCAGGAAAATGCAAATGAAAACAGCTGAGCTACTACTACACACTTATTAGAATGACCAAGATCCAGAACGCTTGGCAACACCAGATGCTGGCGAGGATGTGGAGCAAGAGAAACTCTCATACACTGGTGGGAATGCAAAATGGTGCAGCCACATTCTGTTGGGAGACAGTTTGGAGGTTTCTTACAAAACAAAATATACTCTTACTGTATGATCAAGCAATTATGCTCCTCGGTATTTACCCAAAGGAACTGAAAACTTCTGTCCACGTCAAAACCCCACACACAGATGTTTATGGCAGCTTTCGTCATAACTGCCAAAACTTGGAAGCAACCAAGATGTCCTTTGGTAGATGAATGGATAAACTATGGTGTATTCAGACAATAGAATATTATTTATTCAGTGCTAAAAGGAAATGAGCTATCAAGCCATGAAGACATGGAGGAATTTTAAATGCACATTACTAAGTGAAAGAAGCCAATCTGGAAAGGCTATGTACTATGATTTCAACAAAAGGCATTCTGGAAAATGCAAAGCTATTAGAGATGGTAAAAAATCAGTGTTTGCAGGGTGTAGGGGGGAGATAGATGAACAGGTGGAGCACAAAGGTTTAGGGCAGTGAAAATACCCTGCATATTACAGTGATGAGTATATGTCATTATATTTTTATCCAAACCTGCATCACGTACAACACCAGGAGTGAGCTCTAAGATGAACTGTGAACTTTGTGTGATTATTGTGTGTCAATGTAGGTTCTTCCTTGGTTTAAAAAAAAAAAAAGTACTTTCTGGTGAGTGATGTTGATGATGGGGGAGGCTATGCACGTGAGGGGGCAGGGGTGTATGGGAAATCTCTGTACCTTCCTCTCAATTTTGGTGTAAATCTAAAACTGCTCTAAAAAAATAAAGTTTTTTTAAAAAGATGAAATGAATGAAAACCAGCATGTGGTTCGTGCCCATCCAGGGATGCCAAAAAAAAAAAAAAGAGAGAGAGAGAGAAAAGAAAAGAAAACCAGCATTGTAAACAGTGTAACTACCCATGGGCTCCTGGGTCACAGAGTTGTCCCTTTATATATTTAAATGAGTCCCAAAGCCTCCTCTTGATGTCTCTTTGCTGCATACCTAGCCCCTTCCAACTGGATCTTTTCTTGAGACAGTAACCACTACCAGTAGGCTTTCTTCTCCAGCTTCGTGACATGAAATATTTGTCTGAATATAAGGCCCATTCAAACATTAGAAATAGGTAAGTCTTAATTACTTACATATAGATTTCCCACTTGGATATTGTTTACAACAAATGTTTCGTCCCAATTTCAGTTTTTCCCCATGAGCCATTACATTTTTGAAGGGCCTCCCTTTCCCACAGGTCAGTGTTTCCTTCAGGAATGGTAGCTATTTAAATTTTTATTAACCTAAGAAAAACCACCGGGAGAGCTTCCTTGTCCCTCAAGCTCCTCAGCAAAAGTCACAGTGCATTCAAAAGCCAAATATATTTGATTATTGGATTATGCTTTGCCTGACATATCTATTGCTTCCCATTGTGAATGTTTAATAATTGACCTTCAGGATATCTGCAATATGAGCTTTTCAGCCTCTGCTTCCATCTCTAAAGTCTGAATGACTTGGCCTTAAACATTTACCATCCTCCCGCTTAAAAATCTTCCCACCAGTTTCCTGCTACTCTGCCCTCAAGGTAGTTCTGTCAAAAAGAATAAGAACTCTGAACTCTTCAAAGCCCTGTATTAATGTTTGTCATCTTTAGCTTCAGTCTGGAGAGTAACAGACTTACTGCACCAATTTGAAACATTTTTCCCCAGCCCATTTCTTTTAAGTAATCTCTGCGCCCAATGTGGGGCTCAAACTCGCATCCCTGAGATCAAGAGTTGAATGCTCCACTGACTGAGCCAGCCAGGTACCCCCCCCATCCCATTTCACTATATGCACTCATATCCCCTCCCCTCAACGAAAGACACAGAACAATAACCTAACCCTCTTCTTATCAATAGTGGAATCATTTTTATCATAACTATACAAATTTATTTAGGAACAGAGAGATTCCTTTGAATCTCAACATTTTCTTGGATATACAGTCTTTTTTTTTTTTTAAAAGTTTACCATTTCTGGAATGGCTTCATGTTACATCTCTACACACTGGCCCACAAAGAAGGAGACTAGAGATAATGTTCCCGAGAAGTCAACAAATATTCCCAGCCCATGTGGGAACTCTCTTGTGGAAGGTAGCACAGTATTTCACACTTTGGCATTTTTTTCCTTTCTTTTTCTTTTTTTAAAAAGGAGATAAAATATTACAGAGATGTCTTCAAAATTCACACCTGAGTTAAACATTTTGCTGGAAAATTCCACATTTAGGAGAGAACGTAGCTGCAAAAACAAGAAGGGGCTATATACAGGTATTTTGCCAACATAATTGTTATGTGTTTGCTTTTCTGTTCTTCCTCCTGCAGCCAGGGGAAGGGAGAGAGGACCAGATAAGGACAAGGAAGGAGAGAAGGAATAAACACTCCTGAACTCTGGGGCAGGTGTAGAACACAGAAGAGCACCTGTGGGCAGAGAATTGTGCCCATGGGACTGAGGGTGGCTCAGCCTTCTGTAAAGAGGAGGGATCCTGGAGAAGGCCATCATGAGTGGATTTGGTTCTAGAAAAGGGGGCGGGGCTACAGAGAACATGGGGTGAAATGAAGAGTCAGTCAGAAAAGTTTGCTCAACAGAGAGAGCATCCAGGCTTTGGTGGAGACATCAGATTCCAATCTTTTCACAGATTTTAGAGATCGGTTCAGAGATTGTGGCCAAGTTTGGAGTCAAAACCATGATCTCTCCTTCTGGTTGTTTGGCACACCAGGCAAACTGCTGTCCCCAGAAGCCCACAGATGAGTTGGAAAATAACGGCAAAGTGTCCTTTCTCAGAAAGACTACTGCCATAGGGAAGCCATGGGAAGTATTTGGAACAAGGATTGGAGCACAGGGAAAGAAGGTGAAAATGGTGAACACCTGGTTGGGGGGGGGATGTGATTCAAGAGCACTAGGAGCCAGTGCATGGTTTAGTCACAGTTTGGATCTCTGGAGGCCCTCACTCTTGAAGAAGCAAGAGTTTGGGTTGACAGTGGGGATTCTCTTCCACTCTTCTGACAGTAATCTGTCCATACAGAGAGGGCGTGATTCCCTTCCTCCCAGGGGGACATGCAGGGCCAGGTGGATTCAGAGAAACTTTTTGGCCTCAGTGGAGGTAGGTGGGATGATTCCATCTGTACCAAGATCTGGAAGGAAGAAAAAGCAAGTCAATCCTAAAGCTGCTAACGGGTTGAGGGGAGGGGCGAATGGGCAGCGAACTCCTAACAGGTATGGGGTTTCTTTCTGGAATTAGATTATGGTGATGGTTATGCAAAATTGTGAATACACTAAAATCCAGGCATCGTACACTTTAAATGGTAATTTTTACAGTAGGTGAATTCTATCTCAAAACATTTTTAAAAAATGTACATTATATGGGGTTTTTTTCCTCCTTTTTTGGTGGGAGAGGTTGAGGAGCCCCAATATTTTGGGCTGTGCAACCGTGGGCTGGTAAGAGCTGGCTGCCTTGCTGAATGGCCTGGGTTTGGACAAGAGGATTCATCTCTTCCCACAGGGTGACTGCCTAACTTTCAAATCTCTGCTTTGTTCTGACTCAGGGAAGAACCTCTCAAGGCACCTGCTGCGAGAATAGCTTTCAAAAGGAGCAGACTCGTGGGCCCCAGAGGCCACTGCCTTCCCTGCGTCACAGGTGGGAGCTCGAGCGAGGGAGCGGTAGTCCTTCTCTCTCGTTCTGTCAGCCACACTTGGCCACTCCGGCTCCCGTCGGAACACCTCAAGAACAGGGTTCCCGGCATGAAGAAGAACACTCCTAAGCCCACTGAAGGACCTGGCCCTTTCTAACAGGAGTGTTTGGAAATTTCCACCCTCCCAGTGAGGATGGAAATTTTGGCTTTGTTGACATCAGCTCCTTGCCAGGACTGCTCCCTGGCCGAAGCTTCTCTTTAAAGCCCACTCCCTAGGGATATGGTCCAGCCCAGCTGTCCACTCTGTCTCCCCACCCCTGCCACCCCACTCCCCTTTCCAGCCCTGTGACGAGCTTTCTTTCCAGAGCTATGGACCCAACTTCTCGCGTGTCCCTTGACCCTGCTAGGATGTCGCGGTACTCTCTCCTCCACCTTACCCCGAAGAGTTAAAACTGGAGGAGCTCACTGCCACTTTGGAGTTATTTTGAGATGCAGTGGGGCTGTTGGCCTGGAGTCCTGAGCCGGGAGATGAAGACCTGCTGTTGTTCCCAGGGGAACAGGATGACGTTACTGAGGATGAAGAGAGGCAAAAACAAGGGGAAAATGATGCTGCTGGGTCCTGGGACCTCCTGACACGGCCCTCAGTCATGTCTCCCCAGAGAACTCCCACTTCTCCCTGACTCCCACCCACCTGCCCACCTCCTGCCATGTTAGCATCAACACCCGGCCCCAGAGGGGCTCTCATCATAAATACTCCTCTCAGCGCGGGCCCTGGAGAGCGGCATGGCTGGTTCTGCAGGTCTGAGACTTGCCAAATGCAAAAGGACAGATGCCAAAATCATCCTACTCCAGGACACACCCTGGGCTGGGCATATGTAGCCCCAGACCAAGAGAGGGGAGGGGCCAAAGAACAGGAACTCTTGGAAAGGAGGAGAGGAGCAGGAGAGAGAGAGGGAACAGTGAACAGGAGAGGGAAAGAGAATCTGAGAGCACAGCCTCTCTAGTGTGCCCATTTCCACAAAAAAGATACACAGGCTTCTAGAAAGAGCACAGCCAGGAGAGAGGAGCCCCAAGTCTCAGTCCCTGGCCATTCACTAAGCAACTCTGGCCCATGGTGCCTTGCTTCACTTCCCCGAAGCACATTTTTGTCCTCTGTAAAATGGCAGATTTGGATGTTCATTTTTGGATTTCCCGAACAGCGTTCCGGGAGTAAGGTGACAGACACCTTACCATCCAAGCAAGCCAAGATACTCTGAGGAATGGGAGGCAGTGCGGTCGAACATTATGTCAGGACAAGAGGCAGACACTGGGACTGTCCTGGGCATCTCCAGACAGATGGTCACCCTCCTAGTTCTTTGAAAGTCTCTAAGTACTTTTTGAAAAATAGAGTTCGGTAGGAAACTGGTTTGGGAAGGCCTGCCTTCCACACAGCTCCTTTAGGGATGTTAAATGCACTCCGGTGCTGAGAAGTGTGGCAACTAAGACAGAAAGCAAACACTTGCTTTCATCTTGGCTTCTCCAGCATTTCCCAAACTTACTCGATGGTGGAACCCTTCTTCTCCTAGCACAGATCTTCCTAGCCTTCGAAAGACATTTAAGGAATGCTGACCTAAGCAGTTACCGTTCACCTCTACCATCCCCCTGTTGAAAGGACTTCTGGAGTTATTCAGAAACCCCATGGCAAAGCTCACCTGTTCCAGGCATGGTGCTGTGGACAGGAGGGACAGAGAGGGGACCCAGAGACCCAGAGGGAGAGACCTGAAAGGCAACAGAAGTTTGTAAATGTCTGTGTCTGCTTCTTTCTCCGATCTTGAGTGCTTCTCCCAGGGTGCCGGGCCCCCAGAGGGCAGACAGCAGGACTCAGCTTCCCTGATGACTGCCTAGTTCCAAACCTACACTTCATCCCCCGCTTCCACAAGAAGGCCTCTGGACCCCGGCAGCATTGGCTCATCTGGCCTTATCCAGCAGGGGCTGCCCGCTGCCGACACCGGGCCCTGCCTTCCCTGCCGTGGCCCCTGGCAAGGCTCTTCCTCACGGCCAGGTGGGGTGATGAGCGGTGCCTCTCGGCTCCTGCTGGGGCAGACACTGTCTGTTGGCTATCTATTCGCCAGACCCCAGTTCTTTTTTTTTTTTTTTTTAATAAAAGATCCCTTTGCTCAGGGCAGCAGAGCCCAGCAGCTTCCCAGCCTGATGTAGGAGAGGACCCCCAACTCCCCAGAAAAAAACTGGAGGGGCTGAACTTTGGACGCTGAAGCTTTTCATTTGGCCCTGGAGACCTCACAGCATCATCAACTCTGAGATCGGGAAGGAACTTAAGAGGATTCAGTTTAAGCCCTTCAGGACTCTCCCCCTTCAGATTACTCCCTTAGCACAACCTAGAACAAGATGTAATAGGAAGAATGGACTTGGGGGCCCAACAGATCTGGGGGTGAGAACCTGGTTCCACCATAACGCTCCATGTGATTTTGGGCAAGTGACCTAACCCCACTGAGATCTGGTTTTCTCATCCATGGAACAGAGCTAATACCTCCCCTATATTTCCTTTTAATTAATATTTAATGGGATAACTTCCATAAAGCTTCCCCCTCAATGCTTGACAAAAGAGCACCAGGCTTGTTAAATGTTAGTTGCCTTCCTCCCTGAAGTTAGTCGCCTACTGTCTCTGGACGCTGTTCACCTCTTCTTCTGAGCTGAAGTCTGCGTACCTTGCCTCTGCTTCATTCTTCTCACGCCGACAGGGCAAGGACAGGGGAAGGACATTGGAAGGAAGTTCTGCTCGGGGAGCTGGGATTCAATGCTCCTCCCCTCCCTGGTTTGGATCATCCCATCCCAACAGGATGCAGCATGTACTCATTTCCCAATTAATCAGCTGCGGCTCTTCTATCTTCACTTACTTGCCCATTTACAAGGAGCCTCCTCAGTAGGCAGGGGGCCCACGAAGGGTGGGGACAGGTGTGGGGCCGTGTGGTAAGAGATGTTATCAACCAGCTCTCTCCCTCTCCTCCTCCTCCTCCCTTCCCTACTGGCACACCTGAGAAATTTGTTGTTGTTTTAAAATAAATAATGTATTTAGTCACTGTGACCAGCTTCTTCTGTTTCCTTCTGGAGGCAGGCTATGCATATGCAAGCAGATATATATATCTTGGTATATATGACTCCCCCTTTTTAATTGTTTGCATAAATGGTAGCATTCTGCCCACAGTGGTTGGTGCCTTTTTTTTTTTTTTGGCTTAACTGTATATCCTGGAGATCATTTCATATCAGAGCAGAAGAAACTATGTCCTAGTCCCAAGGAGACTGTCCCAGTGAGACCTGAGGAAAAGATAGAGTCAGAACATTTTCTCCCTCTGCTTCCTTCATAACATCACGAGCATGAACGGTCATTACTTATTTAACATATTTCTCCCCAACTAGGCTGTCGGCTTCCTAAGGGCAGGACGATGCCTGAGGAGTTCTACCACAGTGTCTACTACCATGTCTGGAACTTTTCAGGTGCTCAGTAAATATGTGTTGCATGAATGATGAGAAGGAATCAGGCTCCTTCCCAGGTCCTCTATGCTTCCCACTGCTTTTCTTCATGTGGGTGTCCTGGGTTGGGGTTGAACCAAATTGAGAACCTATTTCCCAAAGCCCTGTGTTTAAAGATTTCAATGCTCTTCTGACATGGCTCCATTTCCTTAACACGCCCGACATAACCTCATCCCCGCCCAGCACTCCTGCCTCCTCATTCACCCTCCCCGGGTTCCAGCCCATTCCAGCCTGCTATGCTTCCTCTTTCCACCCTGCCCAGCCTCAGGGCCTTCGTATACACTCTTTCCTCTGCCTAGAATATTCTTCCCTACACTCTCTCCTCCCTGTGCACCCCCACCCCCATTACTGTCTACTTACGCTTTGGCCGTCAGTTTAAGCATCATTCCTCTGAGAAGCCCCTGACACCTTGCCCTAGGTTAGGTCCTCTAAATCCTCCTGCATCCCCTCTGGAGATTTTATCCCAGAGGGCATTTGTTCAATGTCTACTTTCCCCTCTGGACTGCAAGCAGGGATCCTAAGCGTCCTGTGCACCCCCGTGTCCCAATGCCAAACATTTGGTGGGTACTCAATAAATATTTAAGAAAGGAACCGTGAATGAATATCATGTTGCCTCCAACTTCAAATTTTCAACGGTTCCCTAGAGCTTGCGGGGTAATTTAGTATCTGTGGCCCATTGTGATCCAGCCCTCATCAACTTCTCTTAGTCCCCAAGCCTTTGCTTCAGCCAGATGGAAATGCTTGCGATTCCCCAAATGCAGCATGTTGTTTTATAATTCCGTGCCTTCTCACAGATGGTTCTTTCTGCCTGGTATGTTGTTCTCACTAACTTCTAATTTGTTCTGCAAACAAATTAGGGGGTCAGCCCTCCCAAACTCCATTCTGATTGGAGTGTCTTTGATCTGTGCTCTTCTGGGCTCCCAGAGCACCCCTACAGGGCTCCTCACATCTTCACTGCAATGTCTTGCCTCTTCTGACTCCTCCTTCTTAGTGTCCTCCCTTGATCCTCTTCCTTTACCCGTCCCTCAAATGCTGGTGTTCCCTAGGGTTAAGATCTAGACTTTTCTCTTGGTTCCTTTGTGCAAACTCCATAACTGAGCTCCTCCTCCCCCAGGATTTCAGCCACCACCTTATGCTTCTGATTCCCCGATCCATGTCTCTATCTTGGCCTTCTCTCCTGACCTCCAGACCCATAATTCCAGGTGCCCAAGGACATTCCCACTTGGGTGTCCCACAGGCTTCACTGTACATTATAAGGATGTAAAGAATGGGAATCGTCCCTTTTTCCCACTCCCAAATCAGCTCCCCCCCTGTTTTTCTGTTCCATCAATGGCATACCACCTGCCCATCAACCCAACCTGAAGGCTGAGAGTCAGAGTATTCCCTTTCCTTCATCGTTCTCCTTGCCCCCACCCGATTTCCCATTCATTACCCAAGACCTAATAATTCTACCTTCTAATTATCTCTTGAGTCTCTCCCATCCCCTCATTCTTACCCGCTAGGTTTACTTCGGCCCTCATTACTTCTCTCCTGGATAACTGCAAACACATTGTAGCTGGTTTCCCTACAACCAGTCTTGCGTCTCTCAAAACCACCCTTTATACAGCAGAGTGATCATTCCAAAAGCCAAATCTGATGGTGCCAATGGCCTGCTCAAAATCCTTCAGTGACTCCTCTAAGGCTTCAAATTCCTTAGCATTGCACATTGTCACCTCAGTCTGGCCCTTGCTGGTCTGTCCAGCCTCATCTTTCAACATCCCTCCACAGGGAACCACCTTTAGTTCCGGGAACGTGTCATACATTCATTCTCCCTGCTCCATCCTACTGTTCTCATACTTTCCCCCATGAGAACTCCACCCTACACTTATTTGCCTCTTCACTCCTTGTCCTTTTAGACTCAGCTCAGGTATTAATTATCTCCTTGGGGAAGCCTACTCTAACCACCACCTTGTAAGGCTTTGTTAGCTGCAACTGCTAAGTTCTCCTCGAGAAATTATCACGTTGTTTTTCATTTGTTTATTTGTCTGTCTCCTCTGCTAGGCGGTGAGATTCTCCAGGACAGGGGAGAGATGTTATTTATTTGTGTAACCCTAGCACTCTGCACAAAGATCAATATATAGTAGATGGTCAAGGAATGTTTGGTGAAAGAATGAACAATGGTGTCATTTTTATGAGACAGCTATGTTCCACCCCAGACAAGGCTGATTTTTACCCATCTTTGAGTGCTGGAAGATTTGAGGACAATGCCATTGTCCTCAGTTCCCTTAACCTTCTAACCATATATATCATCCCCAAAGATGAAGAAGAACTTTCCCACTTCTACCCTCCAGGCACTATCTCTCCCTGGATGGAGAAGATATTTCTTATTCCCCAAACTTCCAAGTCTGCCTAAACCGCAAAGTATTCCCAGCCCTGACCTCCAGAATCATAGATACAACTGTCTACTTGACACTTCCTCTTGGATGCTTAGATGCACGTCTAGCTTAATCTGACCAGCTCCAAATTCGTAGTCTTTTCCCTCATACCTGTACCTCTGGCATTCTTCATCATCTTAAAAAAAAATGGCAACACCTCCAACCAGTTGCTCAGGCCAAAACCCTTGAAGTCACCTTGGCTTCGTTTCTCATACTCCGTATCTGAGCTGTCAGCACATCTTGTTGGCTCCATGGTTGAAATGTATTCAGAATCCAACCACTTCTTGTCACCACCATGGCTACCTTCTTAGCCTAAGCTACCTCTATTCTCAGCCTGGGTATTGTAGTTCTCCTCACCCATGTCCTGCTTCTAGATTATTCTCCACTCAGCAGCCCACCTCAGCCAGCTCAGACTTCTCTGCCCACAGTTCTCCAGTGGCTTACTTCATACAAACTCAAAGCCAGGGTCCTTTCAGTGACCTCCATGAGCTTGGGTAGTCTGCTCTGTGTTACTCCTCTGACTTTCCCTCCTATTCTCTCCTCCTTCCTCAGCCTGCCCCAACTACACTGGCTTCCTTCTCTCCCTCAAACATGCCAGGTCTTTTTACTTACTGGTCCCTCTGCCTGGAACACTCTTTGTTCTAGATAGTTCTTTCCTTCTCAACACTTTGGGCTCCACTCAAATGTCACCTGACCAGGGAGGTCCTCTTTGACCTCTCTATTAAAAAAGCATCTCCCCACAGTTACTTTCAATCCCCTTACTCTTCTTTATTCTCGTTTATATTATGTAGATTCTATATACGGCATATTTTTGCTTATTTATTTATTTATTTATTTATTTATTTATTTATTTATTTATGGCATGCCCCTCGCAACTCCCAACTGCCATCTTCCCCAGGATGGAGAAGACTCTTTGCCCTCCAGGCACCATTCCTGTCCCTCCCCCCAGTGCTTGGTGGCAGCTTGGTTCCTAGTCACTCACCAGGCGGGAGTTGTAGACAGGTGATTTCATGGGTGTGGTCACAGGGCAGTTGATTCGCTTCTCCTTCTGACGTCGGTTGCAGAACCAGACTCTTACCACCTCCTTCTCCATGGACAGCTGCTCTGCAATCATGGAGATCTCCTCGGAGCTGGGTTTGGGGTTCTACAGAGACCAAAGGGATAGAATGGTCAACAAGAAAAGGGAATAGGGTCAAGAATCAGGGAATGGGGGCCAGATGTTCCAAGGAAACAAGATAGAACAAGGGATGGATCAAAAGCTTTAGAATCAGACCTAGGGTGGAATACTGGCTTGCTTTATCGGTTACTGTGTATCCTTAGGAAACTGCCTTAACCTCTCTGAGCCTCAGTCTTACATCTATGAAGTGAGAATAATAATGTCTACTAATAGGATTTTTGTGAGGATAAAATGAGAAAATGTGTGTAAACTGCCCAGCATGGGGCCTGCCACAGAACAGAGGATCCATAGATGTGGTTCGCTTCTCTCACTTCTTCCTTCAGAAGTTCTGAAAAGAGGAGTCTCCTGTTGAGTTGGGTGGGGCACCCGAAACCCATGTTCCCCTCATGACCTGATATCCTTTTCTTGTGTTATTACTTCCTGTCCTACCTCAAAATAGGAAAAGATAGAGCCAAAGCATGTGGATCCATCGAGACTGAGGAGATATATGTATTACATATTGTATATGTATTGTATATATCTATATTATATATAGATATATATTATAATATTATATATTATATATATAGATACATATTATATAGATATATATATAGATATATATTATAAATGTGTGTATCTATCTCTCCACTCTCTTGTTCCAACCTCTCCCTCCACCCAATCTTTGATCTCAGCCCCTCTCCCTCCTTCCTACACCCCCTTCCCTTACTCATGCTGCTCCAAGAAACTAATCAGCAGGAAAAGCCAGCTCTTGTCATCCTGCCAGAAGTGGCCATCAAATCCTTGAGCCAGATGCCCTGGCAGATTTGCCGGAGTGGGCGGCAGTCTTGGAGGCCCTGGGCCCACAATGTTAAATGAGGCCAAGGGCACCTCCTCTAGGGACATGTGTGGTGTGGTGTGGATTGAGGCTCTGGAAGCTGGTACCTAAGGGATCCTGATTAGAAGCTGTGTGACACACCTGCTTTCCCCTCTTCCCTTCCCCAGCTCGATGGGGCATGTAGCTGGTATTATTAGCTGCCACATACTGGCTCAGGAATATGCTTTTGCTACAAGTTCAAACAAATGTATGTATAATATGATCACAAGCATTTAAATACATGTGGAAGAAAGAAGGAAAGACAGGTAGATGCCATTTGATGGTAGATTTTTTTCCTTCTACTTCCTTGTGTTTTCCTAATTGTTCACAATGAGCATTTACTACATTTATAATTTTAAAAAATACAAATTCATGCATAGAAAGTAAAGAATTTCAGATGGTAACTATACTTATCATGATGAGCACTTTGTAATGTATAAACTGTCAAATCCCTGTTGTATCCCTGAAACTAACATAATATATGTCAACTATAGGCCAACTATACTTAAAGAAAAAAGAAAGAATTTTATACAGTGCTCCGGTTTACCTCAGTTGAAGACAGAGATCCACCCTCTTCTGGGACCCTATACCCCATTCCTTAAATCTCCCAGTGAGAGAGACACTGGGCCCTCAAAAGATGTCAGGGCAAGAAGGGTCAGTGGGGGGAAGAAGTTCCTGGCAGTCCCTTTCATTGGCATACGTGGGGGCCTGCAGAGGGTGTGTGTGCTTGCTTTCTGACCCTTTCCCAGGGGAGGTGTGGTGCGCAGGGACCTGAGTGTGTCCGCTCATCCAACTGTGTACATCAGCCCACCCGCTCCCACCCGGGGGAGCCGCTCACATCTTGAAATCTCTTCTCCAGAGTCAGGCGGATATTGGTCTCGATGCTGGTCCGTTTCTTCCTCTTCCTACCGAACACTTCATTGAGGGTGGGGAAAGAGCTGGGGGTGTTCATCAAGGGGTCTGATGGAGAGGTTTCTGTAGGGAGGTGGAAAGGCAAAGGAAGCTCAGAGAAGAGAATGCACTGGCTGGGTCAGGCTCTGGGTTCATGGCCTTGAGGTCCAACACCACTTCCTCGTGAGCTCTCCTGCCGCCAGCAGGAGAACTGGAACAGGCCAAACATCCTGCTTCTCCTCCTGGCTCTGGGCAAAGGTCCTCCGCGCCTCCAGTGTTTGCGGTCATGGTTCAGGGATACTCGGCCATCGGCGGCATGGGTAGGTGTGAGTGGGTGCAGGCAGAGCTCCTACAAGGAACGCTCGGGAGTCTGTCTTTTCCCCAAGGGTGCCTGGATGCCTGGACGTGAATACTGAGTAAAGTGGGAAGTGGTGTTCTGAGCTAAAAGCAATGATACTCAGTGCCAGAATTTGGTGTGGATGTCACTTTCTTTTCAGTGTTTAAGTGTTGGAGCTGAGGCTGTAGGGCCGATGGGCAGGGATACCCCTCAGGAAGGATTCAGGCGTCAGGGAGGGGGTCACACTAGAAATGACTTATAAGCCCTCTTCCCAAAGGTCCTCAGCCCCTCTGGTCATCTCTCTCACTTCGGTGACCCGAAAAGAGTTGCGTAAGGGACAGCCTGTCGGGGGCAGCTTCCTTGCCCCTCCTATGTTCACATGGAGGGACTTCTGAGAGGGTAACCCCCTTGGGTGCCTATCCTTCCTCTCCACAGTAACCACTCGTCCACGTGTATCTACTGACTAGAGTCCGGCCCAGCACAGACCCTGCTCCTTCTCTCTCTGCCCACACCGCTGGTTCTCAGCCAGGGGCGATTTTGCACCCCTCCTCAGGGGACACCTGGCAGTATCGGGAGACGTATTTGCCTGTCTCAGTGGGAGACAGGTGCTGCTGGAGTCTAGTGGGTAGAGACCAAAGATGCTGCTAAATACCCTGCAGTTCACAAGACAGCCTCCTACAACAGAGAATGCTCTGGCCCAAGAAATCAATAATGCCGTGGGGAAACCCTATCCCACATTGCTCCCCGACACCAAACTCTTCCATCCAGTATTCCAAACACTTGGCCCTCAGCTTACACCCTTGACCTCCTGGAATGCCTCCCAGGTCACCCTGTGGACTGAATCCTGCTAACCCCACTCCAGCTGGGGTTAGTCTAGCTCACCGTAACTCCCTGCCTTCTGAAGACTTACTCAAGATTAGCCGGATAAAGGGCTTGTGTTGTGTCTATGGCCTCCCCCTCTCCCCCATGAGACCCTAGAGGACACACTTCCCTATCTTCCTAACCTAGACATGGTCCAGAGAGCAAGGTGGATACGTGTGTTCGCTCTGGGGTGCTGCCCTAAGGTCTAGACTGGGTGGGTCTCTGGTGGAGAAAAGAATGGGGCCAAGTCTTCATGGGCCACAGACCTAAAGCCATGTCCTCCAAAGGGCCTTCTCAGGAATGAAGCCGACATTTCCATCTCCACTTGTCTGTCTCCCGTGTCTTATTTCTCAAATGGTTCCAGACTCAGGAGAAGAAGGGGTCTTACATAATGACTGCCTCAAACCCCAACACAGACAAGCCACTAGCCCCTTCCCTGCAGAATCGTCTAGGGCACTGTCCACCCCTGTGTCTCCGCCACCTACCTGCATCATGCAACCACTTCTCCAGCAGCGGCTTGAGCTTGCACATGTTCTTGAAACTCAGATTGAGGGCCTCGAATCGCGAGATGGTGGTCTGGCTGAAGTCATTGCCATAAAGCTTTCCCATCGCCAGCCCCACATCTCCCTGCACGTAGGGATCAAGAGGGAGAAGCTGGAGAGACAGGCCCCTTCTTTTCTTTGTCCCACCATCCTAGCACCAACCACACACACGGAGAACCTCCAAGCACCCACCCATCACCTTGGCTCCTTTCCAGGTGTTTTCCCTCTCAGGGGGGAATTTGGTTCATTTCCCTCCTCAGACTCCGAGTGGGCTGTGCCCATGGGCCTAACCCCTTGACTGGCTCTCATTCCTCCCCTGTCCCCCCACAGTGTCCTCAGTTTCCTTACCCACGACAACTGTGCCCTATTCTCTGGGGACACAGGGACACGATGGGCTTGCCCCAAGTACATCGAACCTCAGGTTGCTCCTGAAACATACACTCGGGAAGCCCCGTCTCCACTCACTCAACCTAATTCCTTCTTGCTCCTTGCAAACCAGACCTGTGTGAAGCCCAGCTTAATGCGCCTCTGCTTGAAGGTCTTGGCAAACTTCTCCAGCTCTTCCAGGTCACTGGGCTCGTCAGCCCCTCCAGAGCTGGGTAGATGCTTGGGCACTGGGAGATGCGGGGACGCTTCCAGATGAGGTTCTAAAGAAGATCCTGGCAGCCCGGGGCGCCCAATTGCCTAAGAGGGAACACATGCCGAACAGATCCACAAATAATCAACTGATCAAATGGCATTTTCTGTTATTGTGTACTAACAGGTCCACTTAGAGGATGACAGACCCCTGGGTACACTTGATTCCTGTTTTTTCAGTGATGTGGAAGTGAGAACTGAGGGTTTCTATGAAGGGACAGCAAATAGCTAGAATAGTTGGGTAGAAACAGTAGGAGTGCAAGACAGGGAGGTGTCCTTTCTGGGTTTTAGGCTATGACTCATTGTTTGACTCTGAGCAGGTAACTTCCTTCTTTCAGTTTTCCACCGTAAAAGGAGTTGTTTACAAAGATTCTCAAAACAAATCTCAGAATGGGATGGGGAAAAGGTTGTTTGCCTTGCCTGTTCTTTTCCACAAAGCCAAGTAACTGAGGTGTTCAACAGGCATTAACTGAAGGTAACAGAGGACATCTGAGACTTGTTATATTAATGGAATTTCCATAGAATTTTAAACTCTTGGGACTGCCATTATACTTTCTACCCCATCCTTTTCTTTCATGAGAGTGTTTCGTTGTTGTTGTTTGTTTTTCAATCAGAGGTATTCCAGTGCCATCTACATATAGCTTGATCTCATTTACGGTTGTCAGGAGATAGTCTTCCTTCAGTGTATTTTCATAGAAAAATGGACCTTAAAACCTGGAGTCCATGTTGTGCCCTTTTGGGGTCAGGAGTGAATCCAGCTCCTGAAGACATCCATCGCTCCACAAGGAGCAAATCCCAGGCCAACGGGGCCAGGCACCGTGTCCAGTCCCGGGGCCAGTGCCCATGTGGACAACTTGGTCCAGGTCCGCCTTCTTTTCTCCCTTTCCCAGCTCACTCTTTTTCTGGACTGGGGTTAACTTTCCTCCTTCTCTCCTCCAAGACATGCAGATTTACCACTCAGATGGGCATCCTTAAGAGGAGGAAGGTAAAAGGACCAGAGAGAAGTGAAGGACTCGTTTCCCTGGTGAAGGATCTTTTAGAACAGAATGATTCAGAAGCCTTATGGATTTGATCCTGCTTTGCAGGGTGGGGTGGCCCTCAGGGCAAAGCTTCAGCCCTCCTGAGACTTCCTTTTCCTTGATTCAGTTGTTTTGTAATCTGACAAATACTGAGTTCTTTGCTAGACCTTCTTCTCCTTCCCTTTCACATCCAATCAGATGCCAAATTGCATTCCTTTAACTTCCGCAAACGTCTCCATGTTCGCCCCCTCCTCTCTATTCTTATTGCCACAACCCTAAGCAAGTCCCTTATTACCGCTGCCCAGGACGATCTTAATAACTTTCTGAACAGTTTTTTTTGCTTCTTATAGTGTAAGATGTAAGAGTTGATCTTAGGCCTCTATAAGATCTCTTCCAGACCCAAGTCTATGATGATGAGATTCTGAGTCCTCAGGAGGAAGTGGAAGAGTTCAGGACTCCCGTGTTCCCATTCCTATTAGCCACTAGATGGCACCCTCTCCCCTTCCAGATGCCTTCAGTGCCCTCTCTAGCCCTGGAGAGCCAGGGTCCTTAGTGATGCGTGGGGGATCTTAGCCCAGAGAAGGGACACTGGGGCTCTGCAGTTGTTCCTGGCTCTTCTGCACGTCTATCCCTGCAGCTGTGCAGGTTATTAACTGCACGGGGGCACCCTGGTGAGGGGAGGCGAGGCAACCCCCATACAGCTCCTGCAGCTCTTAGCAAGCCACACACCTGGCATGAGGCTACATCTGGCCAGAGGAAGGGGTTCCTTCTAATTGGCAACCAGGTGCTGCGTGGAAACATGGCAGCTCTGCAAACTGCCCCCTCGCAGATCGCAGACCTGCTCACCCGCACATGCGCACACACTGCAGGAGGCAGTCTAGAACAGTGGGTCTTGAGAGGGACCCAGAGGCGAGAGACTGTGGCCTTGCGGTCTTGGGACATCAGGCCTATGGGACTCTGGTCTCCTCCTTGGGGCTTGAGAGCACCCGTGGCAGGGCTGGCGGTCACCGTGGCATCCCTGGAGAGTTAACTGACCCCTGGTCCTAAGGGGAGTGAGTGAAGCCGGGGCCCATTCAAGGCTGGAGTGGAGCGCCTGCACTACAGAGCAGGATAGCCTAGGAGCTGAAATCTCTGGGCTCTTCTTCTGGCTCCGTGGGTAATATTGGGTCAATCATTTCTCATGGCTGTGGCTTGTGTTCCCCAAGTGTGAACAGGGATAATCCCTTGCTAGTCCCTCTTCCCAGAGGGGTACGTGCCCCATCCAGGGGGTGGGAGGAAACCAGTGAGCTGCTCTGTCAAGAGCTGAGGCATTCCTGGAGGAAACAGGAAGAATGTGTTTGTTTACCTGGGATGCCAGGCCGGGCCCAGTCTGTGGGAGGAGGAGAGAGCTTTGTTGCTGTGGAAAGGGGAGAAGATTTGGCTGCAGACCTGGGTGAAAGGGGAGGGACAAAGGAACAAACAAATAAAATCCAGGCCATCTGAAAGACGTGCTCCACAGCTCTGGAATGGAGATAGCTGTCCCCACCCCCTGAGACCTGGTCAGGTCCCCTCAACCCACCCCAAGCCCCATGAACAGGGCCCCCACAGGCACGGCCCTGGCATTGCCGCACACAGGTGGAGGTGAATGAGACATGGGGATAAATATGTAAACAGCCATCCCCAAACCAGTCCTTCCGCTTGCCCGCCAGCCTGGATTGGTGCATGGGCCGAGGAGGCTCAAGACAGCCCACTCTGGGATCTGATAACCACGCCTGAAGAAATCCAACAGGGAAGGAAAGGCTGCTGGAGCTGAGGTGCTGATGAGTTCCATTGTGCCTACATTAGTGGGCTGCAAAGGCCTGGGCAAGTCTGCAAGGATGCCAGACCAAGTGGATGGGGCCAGACAGCTCCATTGGCCAGGGGCTCTTGGCAGAATGAGGACATTTTCTACTTGGGAGGAAGGTCAGAGAGAGAAGGGAAGACCAGGGGCCAAGCCTCTGGAAACTATCTGGTGGTATGGCCTCTACCCATTCCTTGTTTTGCCTGAGGACCACTTTCTCCTTCCCTCTCCGGGGAAATGGTCCATGAAGGGCTCTGCCTGGTTGCTGGTCATGACCGTGGCCTCCCTCTAGGAAGGGCCACAGCAGGGAGCTCTTGCTCTCGAGGCAGGAATGGAGCCATCAAGCTACCAAAGCAGACAATGGGGCAGGTCGCCCAGATCACTCAGCACAAACCCGAACCTTGGGGTGTCTGTTGTCCCTAAGCTGCTCCGGGCCACTGATGTACCGATCTGCTGATGCTGACCTTTATGCTCCCCAGTCTGTAAAAGGCAGGGCTTAATTTTTCCTTATTAAAATAAACAAAAAGCTCTTATAAGGAGCTCTGAACCTGGAGTCAGAGGCTTGAATACTAATAGTCATCTAACATGTATATTGCATTTTGAAATGTACAAATGCATTTCATATGCATTATTTCAAATAACCCTCAATAACCTTGTGAGGTAGAATTTTACTCTTATTCTATTTTTTATTAGTATTCTGTTTTGTTTCATTTTACTTTGTTTTTATTCAGAGAGGCTAGGTTAACTTTCCCAAGGACATACAGCTAGTAAGTTATTTTTTTAAATTAAAAAAAAAAATTCAACCAATGAGTTTTCTGACTCCAAATTTTGAGGGGTTTTTGGTTGTTTCTTTGTTTCCCCCCCTGTATCATACACTGTCCTCATTGGTTATATGTCTATGTCTGGGCCATTTTGATATCACTATCTTCTAAAGAGGAAGGGAATTAACTGTTACCTTCTCTTTCCTATTCTAGGAGTATGATAGACATTGCTTGGCTAAAATAGATACTTAGAGATTCAAGTATGTTCTTATTCGTCATTATAAAAATGCTCTGAGATGCCATGGAACCTAGGGATAGGGACTGTAATTCGGGCAGGTGCTAGGGACAGAAGACAGAGTTGGATTCTGGATTTCCAAAGCCTCTACCTGGGATTCGTACACTGGTGGAAAACTCCTACTCCCTCCCTCCCTTGGGCCAGTTGGTAGAGATGAGAGAGAGAGAAGCAGTACAGGGCAATGGCCAAGAACACAGGTTTCAGACAAATTTGCAGAACTTTATTATGTCACAGGAGACATAGTATGACTATCTACCGCACAAGGTTATTTTGAAAAATGTCAGGAAAGTCACTCGTCAGAGCTCCTGGCATATCATGCTCAAGAAATACTAGCTATTATTATGAATATTCTAATTTGTTTGCTCCTGGCCAAGGGGACCTTCTCTGGTAGCCATTTCCCTGCCAAAGAACACCTGAAAACCCCCTCTACAGCCTGTGGGTGGCGCTGCAGCTCTACCCAGACAGAATCGCAGCCCACTTTCCGGAGATGAAGGATTTCCAAGGAATTGGGACTTGCCCGCCCTGCAGATCCCCAGGAGCTCCTCTTCCCTGTACCGCCACCCCTCCCCCTGCCCCCAGCTCCTGGCTACCTTGCACCTCAATCCGTACTGACCAGGACATTGAGGAAGACAGAGAGGGAGAAGCAGAGAAGGATCCTCTGCCTGGAGGGGCAATGCCGGGGCGTCCCTCCCCCAGGTGCCGAGGTAGACAAGCTGGTCTTAAAGCCAGAGGGGTGAGCCACTCACCCCATGCCCCACACTTGGGCTCCCTCATCCAGCAAGCAGTGGCGGCACGTTGCTGGACTTGGCCGATGTGGGAAACGTCAGCCAGGGTTCTTACCTTGCTGCCCAGTTTGGGTCTGAGATAGCAGGAACTGGGATACAGACTGTAGGTGGCCAGGAACCAGCACGAGCTGCTGGAGCGGATGGAGGGAGGTCATGTCCTGCACATGGGGGGGGGGGGGCGGAGCACAAACATCACAGAATTTACACGCGGGGGGTGCTGGCTCCATCTGTCCCACAGGGTCTCCAGACTCGGAGACTTTGTTGGCAGTGACCTTGACTTATGCCTCTGCGTAGCTCAAGTCCCTGGCACATAGTGGCTTTTCCATTAATGCTGGCATTGTTACAGCTTCTGTACTCAGCCAAGCAGTGCCTTGCAGCCCATCGTATTTAAACTTTGCTTTGTTATTCAACTTTTGTGTCTGTCAGTCTCGTCTCCCAACTAGACCGTAAAGGTTGGAGGCACAGGCTGAGGATCACCCATCTCTCAGAGGTTCGCCCTAGAAATGACATGTAATCCCAATCGTCTAATTTTGTTTTTTTAATCTCACGCCACTTGACTGTGCTAAAAGTCATGTCTTGGCCATTTCCTGGGCCTGAACCTTTCCTGGACGAAGGAGCAAGTTATTAGGTCTTAATACAAGCAGTTTGATTAGACAGAAAGTCCGTGTCCCCTGGGTTCCTCCCACCAGCTCCCAAAGGGTAAATACCAATCTCAATGCTTGGGGGATCCAGACCCCCAGGCTCAGTGCACAGAGACGGGGTAAACCCCTGCTGGATGAAGAAGAGAAGGAATAGATGCACATTCTAATCTTAAATCTTTCTAGAAAAGGGGTAGTATTTCTTCCCCAGGTCATCCAGACCCAGAGAGGGGCTGGCCACATGGACATCCGCCCTCTCAGACACTTGTCGTTACTGTTTCAGGGTGCCTCCTTCTTCCCCCCACAGCACTCTGTTCTAGTTTGGCTTTGATGCAAAAGCTTGAGGGAGGAGAGTGGGCTCACTGGAGACAGATCTGCTCTATATCTGTAGCAGTGTATGTCAGCATAGGGCTCCCCCGAAATGGCTGGCAGACACCAGCCCCCTAGCTGCGAGGTCCGTTGTTTTGGCAAGATCGGCTCCCTTTTGTCCCAGAGAGGTAGAGGTAGCCAGGCTTTCCCTTTAAGAGGGCTCCCCTGTCATCCCACCTCCACCCCAGGCCTTCATCCCTTCGTCACATTCCCCCGCAGGGCGGTTTTTCAGACCAATCTGGATTCACTGAGAGCCAGGTCTAGAGGTGAAGCATGTTGCAGAAGGCTTGAATTAAACTCACTGGCCCGCTGAGACTATCAGGGCTCCCTGGCATGGGCTGGCATTTACCCCGGACATTTGGTTTCCAGGCATCATGGCGGGTCCTTGACTCAGGTGGCATGGCCTCTGCGAGAGGGTCTGCTGCAGGGAGTCACTGAGGTCCTCAGTTTTAATCTGTACGTGGAAGCAGGAGGAGAGCATCAGTTCTGGGCCTCCCCCAGGCAGGCAGAAACAGAGACTTGGAAAAGGTCAAAGTGGATGAGGGACAAGCCCAGAGAGTAAAGAGCCAGCTCAGTGCCTGTGGTGCCCATGGGGCTGCAGCTTGATATTCCTGCCTGCTTGTGCCCTTCAGCTGGTAAGAGAGAGGCAAGTGGTGCTCTGGAGTAACAACCTGTAAGCGGGTGGGGAGGGATTCCCTGAGCTCTATCATCCCCTGGCACCGTTCGGCGGGCTGTGCCAGGACGGAGTGCAGTTTACCCTCTTGCTCAATGAGATGAGAAAAACTAAGTATATTGTAATGACTTCAAATATTTCTTTTAAATTCTGAGATGATGTTCTTGTTTTTTCCCTTAGGGGAGATGTTAGAATTTCTTTTGTGAAATGATGCTGATCTTAAATTGTATTTTATTTTCTTTTTATTTTTTATTATTTTTTCTTTAGTGCACTCTATACGTAATGTGGGGCTCAAACTCACAACCCTGAGATCAAGAGTCCTATGCTCCTCTGACTGAGCCAGCCAGGCACCCCCTAAATGGCATTTTAAAAACTCCCCACCTCGCGGAGCCTGGGTGGCTCAGTCAGTTGAGCATCTGACTCTTGGTTTCGGCTCAGGTCATGATCTCATGGGTGGTGGGATCGAGCGTCTGTGTCGGGCTCCACACTCAGTGTGGAAATTGCTTGAGATTCTCTCTCTCCCTCTCCTCAGCTCCTCCCCCTGCTTGCACTCTTTCTCTCTCTCAAATAAATAAATCCTGAAAGATAAATAAATAAAAACTCCCCACCTTATTATGTAAAAAAAAAAAAGAAAACCCTTGATCAATCTTCCCCATACTCTGTTTTTTATATTCCTGGTCCACAAAATCCCAAAGTCTGGGAGCCAGTTTCCCTTCCATCCCCAACTTGTTTTCCACAGTTATCCATCTTCTGCGTGCTCAGCTGCCTCTTCGCCCATGTGGCTTTGGTGACAGTCTTTGCCTGTCTCCCTACAAGTGGGGACATGTCTCCCTCATAGTCACTACTGCAGTTGCAGCCCGAGGGGCCTGCGATGGCTTCTAAACCCTCTCTAGCCTCTATCCACCACGTTTTGATGACAGCACACCAACCACCCACCTGTGGGTTTCCCAGGTGTCCAAGGGCAGGGCAGGATGCCACCCCTCCTCCCACCCAGAAAAAACTTCCCTCTGGCAGGTTTTTGGGAAGTCCACTGGAGAGGGGGGAGCCAAGTGACTGAATTCATATAATATGACAAAAAGCATAGGATCTAGACCATACCTTTTAAAAGACACTGGGGAGACCCTCTGATGGAAATTCTTGGCCATAGAACCATTTTCTTGGTCTACACTGGGAGGGTCACTGACATCCTAGAATCTCTCCTGTCTTAGTTTAACCCAAGTTAAAGGTTCAGATTAACAGCAAAATTTGTGCTTCATCACTGCAGAGAAATGGTCTTTGGATCACAAAAGAAAGATTTCCCTTTGGCCGGAGAGCTAGGAAGATCCTACTGAGTGACGTCAGAGACCAAGAAAAGAGCTAGTGTCCTAAATGTGGTGCCTTGCACATAGTGGGAATTCATGTGAGTTAACTGAATAAAAGACATAAAGAGAACCCGTGTCTCTAGAGTCTCTGGCGGGATACAGTCAGGAGAACGTTGAACAGGGAGCTAGACCCTGCTTCTAAGTCCTAACCCCGAGTCTAACTTACTATGCAACCTCCAGCCATCATTTAGCCTGTAGGAGACTCGGTTTCTCCATCCGTTATGATTCTATATGATTTTTCTCTCTTCCAGTCCTAAAATGGAATTAAAAGTTCCAGTTCCCTAGTGCATTTGGCAGACTTGTCTAGTCCAGGTTGCTGTGATGTTCTTAGGTAAAGCGGACCTACACAGCACCAAAAAGCTGGGGTTACACCAAAATTGGTAAGAGGGTGCTTCTTCCAGGGACCATCTTTCCAAATCACTCCTCTCTTCTCTCACCTAAAGAGACCTATCCTGGAGCCTTGGAAGCGGAGAGGAGGAAGGGAGAGAGACCGGAAGTCGCACAGTGGGGACAGAGAGTTGAGACTTTCTGAAAACTCTAAAGGCATGGCCATGTGGGAGGGATTTCCAAGACAGCCCCCATCCCTACCCCCCAGTGCCCCTCAGCTCTTCCCACCTACGCTTGGCATCTCCGTTTAAGAAGCTCTGGTGTCCTAGTTCTTCCCCTAGAAATTAGAGTTTTCACATCCTAGATTCCAGGGAAACATTTGTTAGCAGGTTTAAAAAAGCTAGGAATAGATAAGACTACTTATTTAAAACCACCAACCACCACCACCACCCTTAAGGTTTGCTCTAAGAGATTTTACTGAAACAAAGCCTTTGGGGACCAGCCTCCCCTCCCCGCATCTCCCTTCTAGATCCCCCTCCTGCCCCAGGGCATCCCTCATCCCGGGGCATGGGGGGGGTTGGGTGAGGCAGGATGGAGGAAGAGGGACAGAGGGAGAGTGCAGAAAGTTGGAGCCAAAGGCACACGGGTCCACTGCGGGGGGCTTGGCAGAGCGCAAGTGGCAGGGTTCCTTTATAGACTCATTATGCGCAAAGGAGATAAGAAGGTGCAGCTATGACAGAGCTCAAAAACATGTGCTTTGCCTCCAACCTGAGTGCTATCTGTTAGAATCAGTGCCAGGTCTTCCTGCAACACTTAATTTCAGAAACCAGCGCCATCATAAAAGAAAACGCACCCTTTCATCTGCTTCCTGGATCAATTGCCCTCTAAACCCTTTTAGGGGCACTGCCGACCTCCCAGTTCTACAAATGAAGCAACTGATAGCAGAAAATTCCTTTGGGCGTTCATCTGGGGCGTTCTGACAACCCCCTCCCCACCCCAAACCTCATGTGTCATTCTCCTGACATTGTGCTTCACCAACATTTTTCTTCCTTCATTTTTCATACTTCATTAGCCTTTGGGTGTGAGTGGCTGGCAGTAACCCCGAAAGAAGAGAGTCCTATGCAAGCCAAATTGAGAGACACTAAAGGAGATTCCTTTTTCGAGGACGAGTTCTTAAAATCTCTGCTTTGGTGGGTGGGTCTCAGAAAGAGAGGAAGGGAGGAAAGGCACATCCAGGGCTCTTCCAGCCTCCGGCACACTCTGGCAATTCTCTAAGAGTCCATGGGCTAAGAAACTACAAAATTAAGAAACAAAGCCCTTCCCAAATCAAAAAATCCCTTTCACTGCTGTCAAATGGAAAAGATTGGAGCCTTTCCAGGCAACTGGGTGTTGGCTGTGGATCTGGATGGTGAGATAGAGAGGCTTCTGTTGGAATCCCATTGACTTCTAATGTGAGAACCCGAGGCAAATTGGGTGAAAATCCAATTTCCCCCGTACTTGTGAAAACCCAACCAAACCCACAGCCTGCCTGGAATCTCGAAGACTGTCTCCAGGGTCCCTTTGGTGGTTCTTCTCACGCAAATGGACTCTCTCTCCAGGCCCTGCTCAGGACGGACTAATCCTTGGGGATATGGGCTGTCACAGAGGGCTCTGTCCTGTCACAGTCACTGACCATCCTGTCCACGTATTAGATAAGGTTTATTAGTTCAGAATTTTCTCCACCCACCGCACTGTGCACAGGTATTACACTGAGTCTTGGGCAGTGACCAGGGAGGTAAAAAGTCATCATGCATGATTATCTTTTCTAATCCCAATGAACTCCCTGACATCACCTGCTTGAGAAAGCAGAAGCCTCCTTCTGGGAGGAGAGAGCCCCCTCTGAGGAGCTGGAAGCCTTCACACATTCCTACTCGGCTTCGCCTCCCAGCCGGGGGGGGGGGGGTGTGGGGACGAGTATTTACCTTCCCATCTCATGGAGGCCCAGAGAGCTTCAGAGATCCGTATAAAGTTACATAACAAGACACTGGCAAAAGTCCCTTAAGGGAATGATCCTCTGACTTTTTCCTGGTGCTCTTTTTACAAAACAGTACTGTAGACTTCCCAGGGATAGGAGACAGCGTAGACTATGGGTGATGACAAAGGTGGTGTTCTGGCCCAGACACACCCGTGGACCTCCTTATGAACCATCTGTTTTGGGGTCATGTGATGGGGCAGGGGGTGCTGGGGTACTCCTCCTTAGCCCCTCCCATGACAGTTTCACATGGTTCTCTCTGGGGGAAACAGCCCAACGCTAATGAACAGATCACTGGCAATGAAGACGATCAAAGCTGTTGTCTTGGTTGCATAACTCGTTTGTGGAAAGTGTTTCATAAACATTTCACAAGAAGGAGAATTTCAAAGCGTGAACATCTCCCAACCTGCCTTCAATTACAGGCAAGACTTTTTTTTTCTTTCTTTCTCCCCCCCTTCTACACTTCTCCCGAGGAAGTAAGGAAGAGTTTCTGTTTTGTAACTGATCTCTAAAGGGTTGGTAGCAAACACGTTGCTCATGAAAACATCCTAAAAATATATTTCAAGCGGTGGAAGGGGGCAGGCAGGTAGCTCATCTCAGTGAACAAGGCTGAGAGTCCCCCAGGAGATGTTGGCTGTATCTTCGCTTGGGAGACCCTCCTCTTTCCGTCGTTCTTGGTTGGTTCCTGGGAGTCCAAGACTCCCTCCTCTTCAGATGCCTCTGGGAAGTGCCTGGGGAGATGGCCTCACCCATTCCCTGGTCTCTAGTCGGACCTACAACAGACCGGCCTAGATGCACCTTTGCCTATGGACACTGGGATCTTCTTCCCGACCGCATCAAACTTCTAGGCAAAGGAGGAGAAGAGACAGGGGCCCTTGAATAAACTAAGAGCTTCTTAGGAAGCCTGGGCCACTTGGAGTTGCCACCTCCTGGAAAGAAACTTTTCAAAGAGGCATCCTTGTTTTTCTGGCTTGCACCTACTCTGGAAATGCAACAAGCATTTAATGCTTTGGCTTCAGTTCTTAAGACCCAGCATTGCTAGTGCTGACTCATGTGTGAAAAACCCCATCATTTTAAACCCA